AAGGGTTTATAAAATTAAGAATTCACTTCACCCTACAATTGATTTGCATGGTAAAAAATATACATAGCAGTTTTGTAGTCTCACCACCCATGCAGGGAATTTTCCCCACAGAGTTGGCTCCAAAACTATAAATCTGAAATTGTGCTGCCCTTTAGAATTATGTGGGGTGATTTTTAGAATTCTTATACCCAGCTGCACCATAGATCAAGCAGAATGTTAAAGATGGGATGTAGTTATTGTTTTTACCACTTCCTAAGTGACACCAAAATCTAGCAACAATGCTAACAGGTCTTTCAGGTGACACTCAGGTATGTAATAAATATTTAGCAAATAACCTCTCTACCTTTGCCTTTGAATACTCTTAGCCTCTTCTGTCTATTGATGTTTTCCCTGTGTATAAACTTAATTATAATAGTTACTAAATATAGGCACCTATAAACTACAAATCAATTACTATGAGAGTGTGATTATTAGGTTCTTAGAGCCAGTATCTGTATTATTTCTCTATTGCTGCTGAAACAAATTGCCAACAACTTCATGGCTTAAAACTACACACACTTTATTATCTTTCAGTTCACATCTACAAAGTCCCTTTTGCTACATAAGGTAACACTCACAGGTTGGGGACTAAGATGTAAATGTGTTGAGGAACCATTATTTTACCTACAGCAATGCAAGTAAACTAACTAGTGGTTGGGAACCTGACCATATGAATTTAGACTGTGTTAACTTGGGTTCCATTTTGCCATCCCCTTGGTCTACATATCCGTCACTAATGCACATTCACAGCAATGTAGATCATGAAAACCATTCTTTCCACAATGACACTGGTGATTTGTAAAAACTTATAATTACCATTTGGCTCATTCAGTTTCAATGAATTTATTTAAATGATATGCCCTAGGACACAAGTGTCTCCCTAAATTGTAGCTGCCAATTTCGGCACACATATTTTGGCCTCTTTGTCAATCTCAATTATTGGAATGACATAAGAACATCACTTTACCTATACAGCAAATAAAATGTTTGCTAGCACCCAACCAGTAATAAGAGTAATGGGCTGGACATGGAGGTTCAAACCTATAATCCTAGCTAATGAGGAGGATCTTGGTTTCAGGTTGGCCTGGGCAAAAAGCTTGCAAGATCCCATCTCGACCAATACCTGGGCATGGTGGTACACCTGTCATCCCAGTTACATGGGAAAACACAAATGAGAGGATCACAGTCCAGGCCTGTCTAGGCATAAAGCAAGAACCTATCTCAAAAATAACCAATGCAAAAAGGACTGGAGTGAGCTCAAGTGGTACCATACCTACCCAGCAAGCAAAAGGCCCTGAGTTCAAACTCCAATGCCACCAAAAAAAAGATAAAAGTAACACTAACTATAAGGCCTATTTTGTGTTTTAGCATTTTGTTAAGTGCTACATTAAATGGATGTTTGTAGGTCCCTTGATTCAGAAACATGAGCTCTCGCTCTTGCTCTCGCTCTTGCTCATGTTGGCATTATACCAGAATCCAAAGGTCTGTAAATGATTTAAACTATAGGGATATACTCTGCTCACAAAAACAGTATTTCAGTTTTAGTTCAATCCAAAATTATTAATATTCAATAACAAGTTTTTGTGTTCTTTTCATTTCATTTCCCCTAATTCCAACTCAGGGTCATAAAATTTTTGCAGCACTTCCAAGCATCTTGTATAAGGTAGGATAACATACAACCTGGGATGAATAAAAGAAAGAATTTCTCCCTTGTGTAATTTTCACAAATCTGTTCCTTTCCCTAGAATTGATTCTCATGCCCAAACTGAAAATGTAAAGGGAACTTAACAGTCAGTTAGTTACCTACCTACTTAGTCAGTCAGTTATTTTGACAGTTGAACTCTGTACCTTGTACTTTGTAGGCAAGTACTCTACCACTTTAGTCATCCTCCCAAATCTTTCTGCTTTAGTTTATTTGTAGGGTCTCTCTTTTCCCTGGGATCAGCCTTAGCCTGCCATCCCTTACGTCTACCTCCCCCATATGTAGGATTACAGGGGATGGCCACCACATTCGATCCCAAGAATCTGTAATTTAAAACCTCCCCAGAGAGAAGCAAGTTCTGCCAATAAGGAAGAAATTTAGAAAAACATCTCCGGAGGCAAACAAGTGCCTATAGTTTTCTGCCATGGTTTGAATGCACCAAACTTTATCTTTACTTAACTGACAGCCAAGTATACAGTTTCCAGCCCTTTGATGTTATGAAGAATTATAACTTTCTCCTTTATTATTCAGTTTCTCTATAATGTTCACTACATACCTAGAAATAATGACTGTGAAAGTTGCCTGTAAATTTTCCATTAAATATGACCAAATTGTTTTTTCAATCTAACTGCATTAATTTACATCCCTTTCAGTAGTGTAAAAAGCCTTCTCTTTTCCATATCTTCTCTTAGAGTTGATATCCAAATCTTATTTTGTTTTCAAAATATGAATGATGAAAAGTGTTTTCTCAGTAGTGATTGTGTTTTTCTGATGACTAGTGAGGTTAAGCATCTCTTCTTGAAATTATTGTTTATTATTATTTAACTTTGGTTAATGGACTTTACTATTTTTCTCTCTCCAGGATTTTTGGGAAATGTATATACATATAATATATCAGGAAAAATATTACTACCTGGAATCATATATGTGTGTATAATGTTTGCTTGGTAATAGTAAAATCCTGAAATGGGAAAATTATTCTTATCAAATTTGCAAATAAGAAGAATTAGTGTGCCTTCCCCAGGGGGATGAAAATTAAACATTAAAGGAGACTAGGAATACACTCAGGAGATGTGATGACTCTCAGAAAAGATTTAATTTCCTTTCCCTGTTGACCATTAGATTAGGAAACAAACTAATGGGCCTTTTCTGAGTCTGAGAAGGGAAAGAACTGGAGAGACAGAGATGACAGAGTAGAAACAGCACACTGCCTGTGCTCCCATCCTTTTCTCTGGCAAGAATGCCTGAGTTTGCCATAGATGGAGTGGACCCTACAAAAAGTAGCCAGGTTCTAGTTGTCTTGCCAGTACCTCACCATCTGGTGGGGCAATAATCCCAAATCTGATAATAGAAGGGATTAAGGGTAGGAATTGAAGGAGAATGGTAGAAGGCAAGTCAGAGTTGGGATCACTCCAGGGGAGAGACCCTAGAGATGTCCCTGGGGGGGGTGTACATGCATACTCTATAAAAGAATCAGTCTTTGAACTCCTAACCCCAGAGAACATTAACTCACTTCATGTATCACACATTTAAACTCTGCCTCCCCTAAAGAGTATATGAGTTATTTAATTAGCCACTACCATATACAGATGCCTTTGTGAAGGACAGTAATACCCATCTCTCCAACAGCAGGCCAGCTTTGAGGGGCTTCTTTGGACAGGAAACATTGCTAGTCAATTTGTTGTGCCTGGTATCCAGTCCTAAGGGCTGTAGCATTGGCTGTGACTGACAAGCCTCAGAGCATCACAGTCATTCTAAGCTTATTCAGAGTGAGACCATGCATGAAGGAGGCAACACACTTAGCATATCCAAGATAAAAGGTAGAAATTAATGCTATCATTGCATATTTCTCTAACCAGAATTTCCTATATCAACTCTCTCCCTTCTTATGTCTGGGCCAATTCATCCTTTAATTGTATACTATTGTTTATTCTCTTTTTTATTTCCTGTTTCTTGCATTTTACTAAGAATGCAAAGCAGATGGTTTCTAATTGTAATTCTGTTTGCTGGTATAATTTTTAAATCTATTGTTTTACTTTGCATCATGAATTGTTGGGGGTTTTTTGCGGGGGTGGGGCAGATATGGTTAAGAATGCTAAGCTTCATGTTGGATTGTTTCTGTGTTTTCTTCCTTGAATGATTAAATGTCCTCCAGACTTGGAGCTTCTCATACATAGGGTCAATGACCTTCACTTTGTCTCTCTCTCACCAACTACCAGCTATTAGAATTCATTTCTCATTTCCTAAGTCACTAATTATATATTTGGTTTCTATCAGGGAAGGTTGCCCTGACCCAAGGGAAATGTATTCCTTCTCTAACCTACTTGTGTAGCTACAAAATAATGCCTACATATCTGAAGTAACGTGTTTTACTAGTGATTAGAGGGTTCTTTCAGTTCATCTGTGAGACATGGTGAAAGGAAGCAAGCCATGACGGAGGAAAAAAAAGTGGTGATGTTAATGGGACATCTAAAAATATACAAAGCATATGCTCAAGGCATTGGAATTGGCAGAAGAACAATAGCTGAGGATATTACTCTCCATTGGAGGGCATTCAAAGAAGACTGTGCAGTCATTTCTCTGTGGTTTGATTTTTCTGAGTTAGGCAATTCCATGGACGATTAGGAGATAGGCTTGCATTGGATGGTGATACTTAAAGGTCTGGGGTGCCAGCAATTTTGTGTTGGATTATCAGAAGATTTTTGCTACTGTTCTTATTTGCCCTCACATTCTGATTGTACCATCGTCCACCGGCTGCTGAGGAAGCTGGTAAGTCAGGGCTTCTGAGGTTGACACTGGTACAGCATTAAACAGAATGGAAATATCACCCATGATATGAATGAACCATAAAGGATTCATCTTTCTGTGGCTCAAGTTTAGGTAAAACATATGACTGTATCATTTGAAGCAGAAGGTAGAATAATCTCAGGGCACCTCAAGCAAATAAAGAGAGAATAAATAGCATACTTGTGTAAAAGGTATACCTTTATGAAAATAATTAAATTATCTAGGGGCAGGGATCTACATTCAAATAATATTTCCCTGAACCCAGATTTGGTAGCAAATCAGCAAGCAAAGCATAAACAAACCCCATAGGTAGGCAAATGGCAAAGTCAAAAATGAGCCCAGGAAAATTTACATCCAGAGAGACGTGTTTTCTTATACCAGACAATGGTAGGAACAAAAAACCTGTTTCTTAAATGGGAATTGGCATAGAGCATCTGATTCTTTGTCCAAGAAGATACTTGAGAATAGAAGCATGGTAGTCACACAGGTTAATATCTTCTTCATGTTCATCTATGTGCTTGAGTCCTTGACAGTAATTGCACAGAGCAGCTTCATTGTTGTAGTGCTGGGCAGAGAGTGGGTACGGGTCAAAAGATTGTCACCTTTGGAAATGATTCTCTCCAGCCTGGGCATCTGCCGTTTTTGTCTACAATGGGCATCAATGCTGTACAATTTTTTGCCTTTTTTTAGCCCTAGTCATGGATTTTGGAACATAAGCACAGCCTGGGAATTCACTAATACCCTCACATTCTGGTTAACCAGCTTGCTTGCTGTTTTCTACTTTGTCAAGGTCTCTTCCTTCACCCATCCCACCTTCCTCTGGCTGCGGTGGAGAATTTTGAGATTGGTACCTTGGTTGATACTGAGTACTCTGATGATTTCCTGTGTGACAATTATCCCTTCAGTTGTTAGAAATCACATCCAGATGGAATCAACCACTATGGAGCATTTATACAGAAACAGAACTCTGACTGAAAGACTTAAAATATTTGAGATGTATTTTTCTGCACTTCAGAAAATGATTGAGTTGGGTATTCCCTTCCTCTTGTTCCTGGCCTCTACCACCTTACTTATGGCCTCACTAATCCAGCACTTGAAGCAGATGCAACAACATAACACCAGCCATTGCAACTCCAGCATGAAAGCTCAGTCTGCTGCTCTGAGATCTCTTGTCATCTTCTTCATCTTCTTCACCTCTTACTTTCTGGCTGTACTTATCTCCTATTTAGGTACCATGATTGATAAGAGATCTTGGTTCTGGGTCTGGGAGGTTGTCATCTATGCTATAGTCTCTATTCATTCCACCTTACTGCTGCTGAGCAGCCCTACATCGAAAAGGGTTCTAAAGATAAAATGCTGGGGCACAGACGCTGCCTGAGGCATGGAGTACACTAAGGCCCCTCAGCAAATGGGAGTTTTAGTTACACAAAAGATACCATCACCAGCATTGCGCTTATGTGACAGAGATATACCACAAATGCAAACTTCACTCTCTTTCATCCCACAGACATCTATCTCTAAATAATTCTTCCTGTGTTCTGTTTCACTCCATTCTTTTCCTTTCCACAATCCTCAAGTCAATCCTGATTTTCTCGTGACTGTCCCATCTCTCCTTAATCTTTGCCACATCTGGAATCTTAAACCCAGGATATTCTACACATGATAGTCAAAATCATGGTGTCCTTATTTCATCCTTCTCATTGTTGCCAATTACTTCACACATTAATAATGAATCCCTTATCCATAAGAATTTATTGTCCATATCCTGAATTCTCTCCTGGATAAATGCTTAATTCACTTTCCTAACTTTAGTCAAGAAAAGGGAACAATGAAGGGGATGAACCAAATGGGATACATTGCACATATACAAGGAAATGTCACAATGAAGCTCCCTGTGCAACTATTAGCTATTATATACTAATAAAAACCTTTTTTAAAAAGGGAACAGCTTTACCATTTCTCTCTCTGTGTCTTTCTCTCTCTCTCTTTCTCGCTCTCATCTGTCTTCTCCTTTCCTTTCCCCTTTCTCCTTTGCACCTAACAATACCAATTTCCTTATTTATTTATTTTCTAAATACTGTACCTTCATTCTTTAAAACTCAAGTCAAATTTAATTCTTCTTTCATTTCGTTTGCCAAGACATTATATTCTTTCCCAGAATAGCAGGGCACTTACCCAGTGTAAGTAAGCTCATCCTAAATACATCTCCAAATATTGAAGATTTTTTCAATAACATATGGTTTTTATTGACCTAATGCTTACCTCTTTATTGTACTGTAAGCTGAAGTAAACTTTCTAGAAAGACCACCATGTTGGCACATAATTGTTGTCTTGCCATACATAACCTAGATATCTTGGAACCCTACTTCACAACATCTGAGTGATGCTGGCTTGCCTTTTCTATTCACTTGTTCTATGCTATGTAAAAGACCTCTCCAACTAGATAAGAACCACACAATCACCTCTAAGACATTACTATTCTTTATAAGTCCTTCACCTTCCCAACCCAATGTTTTCCTCATACCCTTTTCCTCTGCAGAATGTAGTCTTACCTTCTCCCCACAGCATCTCTCTCTTCATTTCTCTGCTTTTTATCCCCCCTCCACTAGCAACCAACTGTCTTGGCATTGTCCAACTATGAGGTCTTTGAGTCCTGGCTTCTATTAATCACAGGTGCTTTCAAGGTATTTTTCCTAAAGACAGTTTTGTCTCTTATGACATTCTGGTACTCAGGGTGAAGAATATAATTTTTTCACCTTTTATATATATTGGGTATGTCTGATTAACTGAACTCTGGTTCTCTCATTAGAAGACTGAAACACCTTCTGAAAGTAAACCATTGTAAGGATAAAGAAATCAGGTGGCTCAAGCATGGCTGTGAAAGGAAGGCTTAATTCCTGAAAAAGACTGAACATTCTGATTTGGTCTTGGGTCAATACTCAGATTTGTTTCCATGGGGAATCCACACTTGAAACTGAAAGACTGCTTTCACTAAAGCTGCCATTTGGCATGTATCAGCAGCATCTGTACCATTGCACAGAAAAGAGAATGAGCATGCCTTCTTGCCCATAGCAGCACTCCACGCAGTCATATCATTTCATGAACTCCAGGGATTCAACTATAGATAAAGGTAGGATGGAAACTGGTGGATGCAGCAATGTCTAGGAAACAGATTCATAACCACCTGAAGTGGAATTGAGCAGGAAAACAATGCATGTTAACACTGTATTATCTGACTAGGAACTCTCAGGAATGCTTTGCAGGCTGGTGGGAGGTGGGTTGCTAGAGTTTGGGATTCTGTTAGAATGAGTTGGACAACAGCCAGTGACATTTGTACTGTTTCTGTTTGTCATTTATTTCCACATTTAGAAGAGGTCCTGCATGTTGTGAAGTCTCAGACAGCTGGAAAAAATATGAACCATTCTCCTCATACTTATAAAAATAGAGAACAGGAAGGAAAGGATCCCCTCATCCCCACATAGAGCTACTATTCCAGAAGCTGTTAACTATTGTTCTCCCTTATCCATGATATTCATGAAATGAGAGTATTAGAAGCAGTTGAAGGGATCTGGATGTCAGAAAAAATAAAATAGGAACAGAAATAATAATTATCCTGCATGTTGGTGGCATCCACTATTTCACAAAGAAATTTTACATATGTGATCTCATTTCAGACTGAAAGGACCAATCAAAATTATCTAATCCAACCTAAATGGAAAACAGACCTAAGAAGGCCAAATAATTTATCTAAATTCACACTGCAGATTAATGCCAAACTTAAATCCATTGGAAAAGGAGAGGAAACCAAGGGTTTAAATTTTAAGGGAGCAAAAGTTTTAATTTGGAACATGATAGCTGGGATTTAAAAATAAAAAGGATATACTTTAGAAAGAAAAACAGAAAAGTCATTACCAAGAACAAAGAAATTCTTGGGAACTATAGTTACTAAATATGAAATTAAGGAACCAATGGGCTAATGCACCTGTGTTATCCTTATTATGTATATTTTACCCTATATAAGGCTTATTACCTAATAATAGGGAGCAGAAGATTAATGAGGTTATAATTATGAGTTTTAGGAATAAAAATATGGAAGCTCATGGGTAATAGAAATGAATTTAAGAAAAGCCCTGGGCATGCTGCATCCTGGCACCTGCAAACACATATGCCATGTACACACCACATTATTAGTGACTGGAAAGTGGACCCTCTACCTTTCATACAAAACTACGCAATCCTGGTGAATAACTTGTGACCCTGAGGAGACTGGCAGCAGCAGTAAATTCCTGATAGCATCTGACTTGGAGTCCATTCCTAATTAGACACACCACAAATTTAATCCACTGGATGATACCATCTCTTCCTCACCCCATTCTTGCTATGTGGGATACATAGGTTCAAAAACTTCAGTTGCAATTTTTTTGTCTCTTTCTGAGCCTGGTATTCATTTCCAAGGCCTGCCTAGGAACCACCTACCCAGCCTTAGCTCCCCAAAATTTTCAACATAATCTAAGTGTTCACACAGAACTATCTCCTCATTATTTTCTGAATATCTTTGTATTTGTATAGGATATATCCATTCATGGGATGAATGTAACTCACAGTCGCTGATGTCAGTTATCTTTCCTTTTCTGTCTTCCTTCTTTAAAGCCATTGGCAAGCTCTATACCCCTCTTTATCACCTAATGCCATTGTGCATACACAAATGCCAAGGCTATCACTGACTTTTACCCCTCCAAGTGCTTTCTGTTACATTCATTGTTTCTATCATTTACTTGGCACCAAATGCAAACTCTGTCCCAGTATTAGATATCTCCCTTTTTTAACCTCTGCTTTTATAATGTAGGTTTCTAAATACAAGAAATTTCACTACTATTGAATAATGGCAGTGGATGCTGACTAGAAACTCTGAATTGTGGAATTTGGAATTATAAGAATTCTGATTCAAATATCACTAAATATTTACTGTCAACCTATTGTAGTCTACTGGGAATACTAAGATGGGTTGGCATCTGGATCAGCATATGTTCCTTCTGAGAAATGGGGCCTTTACAGATAAGTTATGTTAGCCAGGATAGGTCTGCTTACAGCAATCCTGGACATTCTGGCTTCACCTACCTATGGGCTATTCCATAGTAGCAAGAGCTGAGATGTGTTTAGCAAAGTGCTTGTCCCTGACCAAGGAATGATGAAGTACAGAGACCTTCTCAGGGTTCTGAAGAATAGGAAACAGCCTGCATTTGGAATCTTCCCTAACAGAGGGCACTGATGGCCAGATTACAACAACAACAAATAAGATGTTGGCCTTTTTATCCTTTAATTCTCCTGGTCCCCTCAACTTTATAATCCTATAGGAACAAGAAAGGAGAGTGTGTGATAAGGTGGGAAAGAATTTCCTCCACTTCTCTGCTGGTTTTCCAACTTTGGATCATGTTGAAGATAAAGGAAGAGATGAAGCTTTTAATTGGATATGGGATTAATGCTTTCATTTAAACTCTTTAAAAAAGCCTGAAAATGAGAACATTCTTACAGACCCATGGGATCTAGAATGGGATCAAGAGTTGGGAAAGGGTGATCTTAGCAATATGTTTAAAGGCAGAAAAATGTGTTTCTTCTGAGCTCAGCTTATTCAATAAATTTATTACAGGAGACAAAAAAAAGTCAGTGAGATATGAAAGGCCTTTACATTTTCACTAAGATTGTGTGTCAAGTATTGTGCATTACATTCTACTTAGAAAAACATCCCCAATTCCTTTCTCAGGAGGAATGAAACCAAAGACCAAGAGAAAGGCTTACATTTGACCATCTTAGTCTTCTACCACCACACCCACCACAACTCCTTCCACCTGAATTCAAATAAAGCAACACAAAATTTTGGGCTTGATCTCAAAACCTCCCCTCTCTGAGAGAAGACTCCTTGACATAGGATTCCACTTGCCTTCCATTCTGGTGTTTGTCTTTCTGTTTTATTAGTGGTGTTTGTCCTTATAGTTCTAATATGTATATTATAAGTTATGATGAGGTTTTTTTCTTCAAATTTGGTCTTTTTTTTAAAAGAAAACAAAGAATCTAGGTGTGGTAGGTATGTCTGTAAGCCTAGCACTAGAGAGACTGAAGCAAAAGGATCATAAGTTCTAGGCCAGTCTGGGTTACATAGTAAGACCCTGTCTCAAAAATTAATTAATTATTAAAGTAAAAATAAAAAAGAAGACAAAGAAAAAGCAAAAGAAGAAGGGAAAAAAATCTACCAGAGAATGGTATCAGTAGCATTGTAGCAATAAAACACTTACAATATGACTGCAATTATAAACCAGTTTTTAAAAATTATCCAGATTTACTTTTGGTCCAGAAATGAACATTGAGGGAGAAAATTTGGGG